AGCTGCCAGCCCCTCCTGTCCCCCCGAGAGGGGACACCCTGGGGACTCACCAGGCACAAAGGTGAGGTGGATGGTGCGGGCAAAATGCTTTCCCTCTGCCTTCAGCCTCCGGATGGCCTCCAGGTACCTGCGGGGAGAAGGGGGTGTCTCTGGACACTGCAGAGGAGAGGGGCTGCTGTGTCCTCAGCCACCCCAGGGGGCGTCAGGCAACCACACCCTCAGCCTCAGGGACCCTGGGGATGGTGGCATCCCATCCAGCATCACTCAGAGGCATCCCTATACCGTGCCCGGTGGTGGGCACAGAGCCCTGCACTCACTGGATGGAGACACACTTCATGACCCCGGGCGTAGATGTTGCCCTGTGAGTCCTTAACAGCCTCGAAGGGGGGGTAGGTCCAGTGCTCCTGTGGGGAACAGCAGCTGTGATGGCAGAGGGGCTCGGCGGGCACCGCATCCTGTCTGCCCACCGCCCCCAGTCCTCCCTGCCATGCCCATCCCACCCCTCGCCCCGTCCCGGCACCTCGAAAACGGGCACGACGTCGGTGTGGGAGTTGAGGAGGATGGAGCGCAGGCGGGGGTCCGTGCCCTGCCAGCTCAGGATCAGCACCACGTGGCCTTGGCACACCTGGGGGGAGAGGGCAGGATGTCACTGGGGTCCCAGCTGGAGACAGAGGGGCTGGGAGCAGCAGGCTGGAGTGGAAAAGCATCAGCCTGGGAAATGTCTTTATGCCACCTGGCAGGTCCCCCCTTTCCTGCTGGGAGAGGACAGGGACAGGCAGCAGGAGGGGGCATGCCTGCACCCCCCAGACACACAGACCCCGTGTGAGCTCCTGGCTGCAATTCACAGGAGGGGAGACGAACTCCAGCGTCTTCCTCCTGTGCCTGGGAGTCCCCTGGGACAGCTGGTGCCAGCAGGAGGGATGTCACCAGCCAACGTGACCCTGCCAGCTCCCTGGCTAATCATAGCACAGGCGGGCGCAAAGGTCAGTGGGGACCAGCCTGAGCGCAGGCTTAAGGAAGGGCTCAGCTCAGCAGAGGATTACGGGCAGAGGAGACTCACTCCTGCCCAGCTCTGGGGCAGCGGGCAGCAGAACTGCCCGGTCACTAAGGACCTGAGCATGGATGGATGGATGGATGGACAGATGGACAGACCAGGGGCCGCTCCTTGCCTCGCTCACCTCCACTTTCTGGCTGGCCAAGCCCAGGTCGGTGCCAACACGCTCCAGAAACCGGACGGCTGCATCTGGGGAGGAGAGGGGATGACCAGAGTTACATCGGGATCTCCCTCCCCTCTCACTGCAACTGCCTGGGGACCCCGAGGCTCTCTGGGGCTCCCAGGCCAAGGACAAAGGTGACCAGAGAGGGCAGGTGATGGAGGTTCTGGGCACAAGAGGTGGCCAGGAGCAGGGACAGGAGCATCTCTTCACCATCCCTTTGGGGCAAGGACTAAGGGAACGTGAAAAAATAAAAACTGAAGGGGACAAGTTCAGGGGGGATGGTCCTCCATAGGAATTCTGGGAGCTCCTCACCAATAAAAGAAATCTTGAAGTACTTCAGTGAGAGGATGGAAATGTTAATGGAAGGAGATCTATGTGGGGTTACTACAAGTCTCCGTCCCAGAGTCAGGGCAGCACGAAAAGGGGGAACCCTGGGGCACAGGGCCGGAGGAAGCAAATTGCAGCTCTGGGGGCACTCGCGACATCCATGCCCCAGCCAAAGGAGCTGGCAGAGTTAAGGCACAAAGGTGTCTGCTCCTTAACACCACAATCAAAACAGCCCCGGCACAGGACTCGGGCAGCCGGGTCCAAAGATGGGAGCTGCAAAGCCACATTGCCAAATCCCCGTCCCACCCCCCCATCCTCACCATAGTCGGGTTTGGGGTGCATGGTGTTGATCCGCAGGTACTCCCGGAAAAGCGTAACCGAGGGGTCCTCCGGGGCCCCCGTGCTCTTCCCAGGCTTCCCAGGTGCCATGTCAGGGACATAGGCTGCAGAGCTCTGGGTGTAGAGCAGGGAGATAATAGCTAATCTGCCACCAGCCCCTCCAAAGTCTGCCAACAAGCTCAGTTGTCACACAAACAGGAGCGGGATGGGGCCACGGTCCCCCCAGTGCAAGTGCTGGTTTGCTGTCACCACGAAAGAAGTCCTCCCACTTGGGTACTTGGGCAGGATAGCATATGTGTCCCACATCATCATCTCATCCTCCCCTCAAAGCACCATGTTCCAAACATGGTGCCAGGGCAAGCTGTGACAACCAGGCAAGAGGTGAGATCCAGGGAAGGGCCAGCTGGGGCGTAGAGGGCTAGTAGGGAGGAAAGGGGGAGCAACAGTGTGGGGAAGGGGATTATGGGGGGAAGAAGGGGTGTATGGGGCAGGGGAATGCGGTGGTTGGGGTTACCCTGTTGTTAGAGGTCCGGGGTGATGCTGGGGAAGTGCCGGCAGGGACGGCAGG